TATTGCCTATGTCCAGACTTGCCAGTGGACCTCAGCACTAACACCACAGCTGGTGCTCTCCAGCCTTCCAGTCTCTCCTGAATTATGGGCAGTGTAATTTCTGGGATGGGGGTGGTGGATGGAAAAGTTTAGTGGAGAACTGGTACTGCCTGGGTTCTGCTGCAAGGTCCTTCTCCTAATGCTGGTTCCAGCAGGGTAAGCACTGGTGCTGTGTTGCAGGCTGGATTTGGGGGAGAGGAAGGTTGTGGTTTTCACCCTTGGTTGCACCAGGGACTTTCAGCAGGTGGTGAATCAGAGCCCTACATGCTAAGTTTTCAAAAAGAGGTCTCAAGCTTTGACAGTGTTTGCACAGTGCTACCCACTGCCAGAAAGGTGGGGCATTGCTCTAGCTCAGGACCTCCAGCATCCAGGCAGGCAGGTCATTGGCTGCTCAAGTTACCAGTGGCTGCCAGGTTACTACTGGAAATTGCCATCTCAGCTACTTAGAGTGACATGATGGGGTTTGGTTTTTCTTTTCTGTTAGGGATACAATAGTGTCCAGCCACACCTGTGGGAAGAGGCTTTCCAAGCTTAGATGAAGAAAAATAAATCCCTGTGCAAACACAAACCACTATTATTTCCTCTGAAGAGTTGCTACAATAGGTTTAGAGGATGGACACCTAAGGAGATGAGGCTGGTATGTGGAAAAGTGCTCACTCTAATGAAAAGTCTTCCACCTTTGTTTGCTGAAAGCCTCATGCTGTTTGTTTTCTGGGTGGATGAACCACTACTCCCCCAGCTCTGGTAAAGATCAGGGTCTCAGCATGTTCAGTGCTGTACATCCCCACAGCAAGAGCATGGCCTGGCCTGGAAACCTCCTGGTCTAAGCAGACAGGACAGAAAGGATCACAGAAAGGAGAACCATGACACGGTAATTAAGTAAAAACAATTAGAGTCACACAGACAGCCATGGCAGAAGCTGAAAGGACACTAAGAGCTGCTAAATCCCAGTCTTAAGCACAGCCCAAACCAGAGCTCTGATGTGGGGAACAGGCAAATGCAACTGTTGGGAATTCTTGAGTTATCCTTAGCTTGGAAGAACAGTTCAGCTCTTTCTAAGGTGCTAAGATTTATCTCATGAGGCTCAAAGAGCATCTTCTCTGGAGTTTGTCTTCTGGTGAAAATTTTCAGTCTTGCCTTGCAATGTTGTCTCCAACTTCCAGCCTTGCTGAAACCAGACAAGGTTTCTTCCATGTCTCAGTCAGTCATACTTAAAGAGATTCCTGCAGGGCTTGCCAGCCTGCTGCTTGTTCCATAATTGCCTGTTCTTGTGTTCTTGATGTCAGCTCTGAGCACAGCACATGCCTCACTCTCACCAAGCTGTGTCTGCCAGGTTGTCCAACTCCTCTCAGACATTTCCACTGTTAAGAGGTCAACCCTTGCTCCCTGAGGAACCAAAGCTGTCCAGAGCCTTCTTCCTGTGCTTGGATAGACCTAGAACACCTTCCTTTTAAAGAGGGCAGACTTTACCTATGATTTAAATGATGTTTGATTTCTTTCTCAGTGTCCTTGAGTTGCTCTTCTCAGCTCCATGCTTTAGTTCCTGCTCAGTGCTGTTCCTGCTGCTGCTAAGCCTGAAGGATTTAGGGGTTTATCAACATGAATCATCCACATGTGCAGTTTTCTCCTGACAGCAAGTTTGGATCATGTTGTAACTTGAATGAATACTCACTCAGACAAAAACAATTACCAGGATTGCTGTTGCTTACAAATGTTTATTCCTAACCCTGATTTATTCACCCTTGGTGGAGCCTTAGCAAGAGCCACAAAGAGGAATGAACTTTTCCAAGTCCCTTGTGTGCACCACCTATTCTTTTCAAGTCTTGCAAATCAGCTGAGCTGGAAATATGACCACAAATTCCAAGAGAGGCAAAGTGTGGCTGGTGCTGCTGGCCTCTGTGGAAAGGATAAGCAAAAAACCCCACATCAGGTCAACCCCATCCCTGCTCTATTTTCACAGCTTGGCATCCAAGCAGCTCCAGGGTAGCTTTACTGCTGCCAAATCTGCCAACTATGCCACTAGAGTGGTGATCAGAATACAGCTGTATCCAGACAGACCCTTTCCCACAGTGTTGGTTGTCAAGAAAGGTTTATCTGCAAGGCTTTCCCAGTCCCTGGCTATACTGGGACTGCAAACCTGGAGAGGATTCCAGCAGAACTGGGGGAGTTTCTATGCTGTGATGCACTTAAGCCTGTCAATCAGTCTAGATGCTCACCAATTTAGTGGCACAACTGTCACATCATAAGGTGTAATATGCTTGGTTTAGCCCTCCTATTCCCTTTGTATTGCAGAATTAAGGCAGGTTACAGTCTCTTTAATGAGTTCACCTTTGCTACAGGCCTGCAGGACAGAGAGGTGCTGAACTTCAGTGTTGGGAAACAAAGGGAGAGCTTCAGATCTTGCTGCAGAATTAGGTAATTCTGCTTGCTCCAAAATGCAGAGGCAGATCAGCTTGAGAGCAGAGGAATGCAAAGAAGCCAGGGCACAGACACCTACTAGTTAGAGCATGTAGGCAAGCAGTGGAAAGCCTGGTATCTCTCAGTCTGTGGGACAGAGGGAGAACACAGCAGCATCTAACACTTCTCAGGAGCACGGGGTGAGTGTGCTGCTCTCAGCTGGGGTGAGAGCTGAGCAGACAGGAGTGAAAGGAACTGGGCTTCAGACAGAGACAAGTTATCATCTTTTCTGAGTTTCCGTCCAGTGGTATTTGCATATTTTACCCAGCGAACCCGTAATGTCTTCCCCAGATCCAATTTGCATTAGTTTCCTGCTACAGATTTAAAGAAAAGGCAACAACCCCACCAAAATCAGTACAAGAAACAACCAAGGACAGGTCTGTGAGGCTGGGCAATAACACCCACAGCACACACCAACACAACCCTCCTGCCAGCCTGATTTCTCAGCAGAGCTACAGCCCCTCTTTCAGACAGAATCCTTAATTTTGGAAGGGGATCCTTCATCCAAAACCTGTTTTACAGGCCTATTCTTAAAATGAGACAGCCTCACACATGCCTGCCAGTCACAGAGCTGTAAATAACCTGGCATAACTATCCAGCCCCAGCCTTAGTACTCAGCATGTCAGGTCAGTTCTGGTGAAAGGCACTTTGATTTATCATTTTTTTTTCTTTAATTCTTTAAAGAAAAGTTCACATTGTGCAGCAGGTTTAAAGAGGCAGCAGGGAACTGCTGTGCAGAAATGGGAGCTGGGTGTTCCTCATTTCAACAAAGCAACTTTTAAAAGGGGAGACTTCAGAGCAGCTGAACTGGGCTTTGAAGTCAACGGTTCAGAGATGGATCCAGAGGGATTTCCATCCGTGTCCTCTCTGTATTGCTTTCCCTGTCTGAATACAGGGCAAACAAGGGTGTATCAATGTGCCAATAGGAGGAATTCTGGCCTTTCCCCCTGGTGCTTGGTTAGGGCACAATGTGGCTCTGAGACCTTATCTACATTGGTTGTGGTTGCTCTGTGGACACCAGCTTAAAATAGCTGCTGTTTCCACAGAGAGGGTGCAGGACATCCTTCCCAGCTGGAAGGCTGTGGAAGCTGACCTACTGCAGATTGTGATTTAAGTTAGGTTTGTCTGTTTGCCTGAATTGTGCATTAATGTCTCTGCAAGGGGGGGCAGAACCCAAGGAAAATCCCCCACTTTGCGGGTGAGGAATTATCATAGAATCACAGGCTGGTTTGGGTTGGAGGGGACCTTACAGATCATCCAGATCCACGCCCCTACATGGGCAGGGACACCTCCCACCAGCCCAGGCTGCTCCAAGCCCCATCCAACCTGCCCTTCAACACTGCCAGGGATGGGGCAGCCACAGCTTCCCTGGGCACCCTGGGCCAGGCTCTCACCACCCTCCCAGTGAAGGATTCTCTTCAAACTGGGCAAAAAGCAGAGAGCATTTCCTGGCCTCAGCTCATGCAGTGACAAGTGGCATTTTTGCAGGATGCTGCTGGCAGAGCCTCCAGAGACTGGAGCCCACTGACACCCACCTCTGCTTAACAAGCTGAGCTAGAAAAACATCATGGCAAAACCAGCAGAAAGAATGTCTCAAAACAATTTGCTGAGTTCTCAGCCCTCTCATTTCCAAGACAGGCCCTGCACTGGGACAACAACTTGAAACACTTCTTCTCTAGCTTCATTATTGCATTTGGCTGTTGCTCTCAGGTAATTAGCACAGCTCTTCCAGGCTGGTGACACAGGGGTGTTCCCCGATTCAAGGACTGGGTTCCCAGAGCATTAAGACATGATGATGCTTGTATTGCTGCCTTGCAAAAATGAGTTGCATCATGATGCAAGACTCATAATCTCCCATCTCTAGGTCCTTCACAGCAGAAGGGCTGGGTTCAGCTGTGGATGTTTAGGTGTACACTCTGAACTTTCACTTGTGCCTCTTGACTGTCCTAATTAATTTAGACTATAGATCTTCTCTTAGCTCCAAGACTCTCAATGCCAGCATTTCTCAACCAACTAGAGTCAAACTGAATAGCTTAAACTATTAAACTGAATAGTTTAAATTTGAAACTGAATAGTTAAAAGTATTTCCTGGATCATCTTCACTCTTACTGTTATTTTTGCACTGGAGGGGCTCCCTCCACAATGTGTGGAGCTGCTGTGTTACCTTTCTTTCACTAAAACCTTCTGATCCCCACAGATTTGTTCTGGGAGGTCCATCACATAAAGGGATCAGGGTTTGTTGACTCTGGAAAGTCTGAGAAAGCTAGGAGAGACATTTCTTCATAGGGAATGAAGCTGAGAAGTTGAGTGCCCCTAGTACCTGTGACCATCCTGCTGTCAATGTAACACAGGATATATCTGGACAGCTAAAGCAGCTCCCAGCCAGCCCCAAGCCTTAAAAACATCATGAAATCATCTCTGCTGAACTTCCTATATTGTGATCCAACTCCAGAGAGCCTCTACCTTTGTGTGCCCCTGTCACCAGTTCTTGTACTATTCCATAGTCTTCCTGGACCTCTTTTAAACATTTTGTTCTATGGTAAGACTAGATTTTGGTGTTTATACTATAATGCAATGAAACTTCCCTTCACCTCCCTTGCCTTTGCTGGTCTCTGTACCAATGTTTCCTCCTGCCCTGGGTCTGGGTGTTCTAACCCAAGCCAACCTGATGACTGTGGTGGAGCATTTGCATTCAGGCTATTGGAACCATCTCTGTAATTTCCATTTGCAAATCATAATTCTCACTCTAAATAGTAGTGTGGGTCTGCTCTTAAATAGTTGTTACATCCCATCCCAGAGGCACCCAAACTGCCTTTCTGGGTGAAGGTATAGCTGCAACAAGCTGTTAAAGAGTTAGCTATCACTTGAGAGCAAGTTATAGTTTGCAAAATTGCTTTGTGACCCATCTTGATTAAAAAGTACTAAAAAAATTATAACATTGTCACGACCAACCAGCAATCACCTGAAATTTTTTCATGCTGCCTTTGTTTTCAAATCCCTGGTGTTTGAGAGTGTCTACATGACTGTGAAAGGTCTGTTCCTCCCCCAAAAATCCCTCCCATCCCCCTCTGTGTGATTCCACTCACATTCCTGTCATAAGAATGTACTGATACTTAGAGATGAAGAGGGGAAACCAGACCTCCCATTGCTCAGGAGATGTGCTTTTTACTTTGCTAACAATTCCTGCCATCTGTAGCTCTGTGGCTCCAAGGAACAACTTGCATGGCAGTGTAATTTCTCAGAGTGGTTGCTGCAGTCTGATGGGTATCTGGATCCAAATTCCTTTGATCTCCTTGCTCTGCAAAGATGGTTGCACACCTTTGTGCCTTGATGCAGAGGACACCTCACAGTGCACATGAGAAAGGACAAAAAGGATTTATTCCTCCAAGCCACTGCCATGAACACGTGAAAAATATGGGATCAAGCTCACACTTGTGCTCTCTTAGTCAGTAGTAAAGCTAATTTCCTCATTTTGATACCCATATGGTTCCCTGATGATCCTGTACCACAACAACCTTTCATGTCTGCTCTGAACCCCTGTAGAATGAGCTCATGACTACATGCAGTTGATTTCTGAAGGCTGCCAGGTTGTATGAATAATATCTAGAGGTCCAGGGCTCCCCTAACTCTCAACAAGGACAATAATAATGACATTGTCAGGCTGCAGCTTTTCTGGCACTGAGATACCTATAGGTGCATTTGCCTTTTCTGTTTCCCCCTTCTGTTTTATAAGGCAATAAAACAGCTATCAACTAGTTTTCCCTCTACAGACAGAGATTTTCTAAATTGGAACAGCTAGAACCAATGGCTCTCAGAGGCAGCTGTGCTTGAACCAGGCTCAAGGGGATGTTCAGTCACTTCAGTGACTGGCACCAAGACAGGAGCCCCGATTTCCTTGGTCTGAGCTGCCTGAACATTTGTTGCCTGCTCTTCAGCATCCTGTGATGCTGATTTTCTACTCCTGGAACAGGAGCAATCCCCACCCCAAGGGCAGCTAGGATCACAGGAGAAGACCCAGGTTGTCACGTCCTGTCATGTTCTTGGGTGGCAGAACAGTGGGAACTGCACCTTGTGTTTGAACAGCAGGGAGACCTCACTGTGGGAATGGATTTATCCATCCCTCATCTTCCCTACCTCTGACTCTTGGCCTCAACCTGAGTGCTTTGGGGTAACACCACCATCTGCCAAAGGATCCCACACGAGCAGCAGGTTCTCAGAACTCCTCTAACATGACACAGCTGGGCTGGGGAGTGCAGGTGATTTCTGCCAACTGCATAGCTCCTAAACAGCTCTGGGCACGAGTGGCCAGATTGCCTGGAGTTATAATTGTGTTGTGACCAACCTCTTATGCACATGAAACACAGAAAGATCTTGACAGGAGTAAACAAAGGCTTTGTCATGATCTGTTGGGCAGGGACGTGGTGAATATGAAGGATGGAGGGAGGGGTTGCCCGGAGTTAACGGCGCAGGGCATTACTAACCAGCCAGGTCCTGGGCTGCTGCAGGGACAGGGCAGGCCACCAACCAGCATGTGACACCAGTGCACCCCTGCCCAGCCCTCCCCAGGCTCCAGGGCTGGGAACCACCTTCCATGCAATTGTCTGGTCTGAGCTTCTCTGGGAAGCCAGTGCAAAACGAGATGCAAATGCATCCCAGTGAAGTTGCTGATCTAAGTCAAGCCCGGCTGACTACACCTCTTCCCTCCTCCCCTCGGTGTTTTTTTTATTTTTTCCAAGCATTCCCCAGCTTCATCATAACATGAAAGCTCTCAATTCAGAGCAAATTAATCCACAATCCTGTCTAAACAGAATTCCTGCCGGAGGCACCGTCCTCTGGTTGCAACACTCGTCCAGCGTCATTCCATAATTATATGAAAACTGTTCTTGCTGCAGAGACACACCCTGGGATGGGCCCTGCACTGCATACACAGCTGAATTTTGAAACAGGCCTCTTCCCCCTCCAGCTAATGACTCTAATGTGATTAAAAGCAGCCCCATGATGGCAGTAGGTGGGTGCTTCTGCTGCCGTCTTTGCTGAGTGAGCTGAATGTCTTGACCCAAGCCAGAAGTTCTGGGCTCTTACCCAGTGTCAGCACATGATCCCCATTTCAAGCCGTGCCAGGAACCTGTACCTCCCAGCTATTATTGTTCAGGGCCAAATGCACCAGTGTGCCCCTTTGAAGTAGGCCACCCTCAGCCCCAGTTCATGAGATTCCCCTCTTCTTGCAGGCTGAGCTTTCCCTGCAGAAAGAGCAACTGCAGCTGAAGATCATTGAGGTAGAGGATGAGATGGATAAGTGGCAGAAGGAGAGGGACCGTATCAAGGTGCGTATGGGATCTTCTGTTATATTGTACTTGTCACTTTCCTTTCTTTTCCCTCTCTTTTCCTCAGTTCCTCAGACATATCCAGCTCTTACTCACTCCATTCCTTACCCAGTGCCTATCTCATCCCTCTCCAAAACTCCCCCATGCCAGATCTTGGAAACAACAACTCCTCCTGGAGTCCTCTTGCAACATCCCTTGCAGGAGATCACCAAAAGGCAGCACAGCCTTGTTACCAAACCATCCAAGCCACCTCCCTGCTTTGGATCCTTATGATTCCTCAGTTCCCAGTAACCAGGCTGAGTTGGAAAACAAAGGTGTGCTGCTTTTTTTTATTTCTTGCTAGACCACACACAAAAATCCACTCCAGAAGGGCTCTGAGCTGCCCAAACAGGGATGGGGCAAAAAGAAACAGATGCAGGGAACCAAAAATCCACTTTGTTTATAATGAAACAGCTTGTTTCCATACTGACATGGGGCTCCTTTCAAATTCTTTCACCACACAGAGGGTTGGAACATAGTAATGATGTGATGTTATTTTTCATTTCTACCCTAACTGAACAGGGCAGTGAAAACACTATTTGGAGACACCCCAGGACATTTGCATAATATTAATAGCCAAAGCCATTCTTCTCCCTTTCATGTGGTACATACACATTGGCTTGCCTGCTCTGCTTTTTGTCTGCTTCATTATGGCTATTATTACTATTACTATTATTATTATTATGATTGGAAATCTGACCTAGAAATTTCAACTCTTAATATAGTTAGATCCACAGCCCTTCTGAGGAATATTTCAGAAGGACCTACAGGTCAGGTTTGTAAAGAGTGTTTCAGCACCTTTCATCCTTTGAAATGCTGGGACTTTGGTCCTTATGTTCTTGAGGAGCCAGAACCATGATTTAGAAGGTTAAACAGTGTTTTTAAATATCACCTCTGAGTGCAGTTCCTGAGTTGAAAGAAAAGATGTGCTCTTATAATCCAGGAAGACAGCCTGTTGATTGCACACACCCCCCAGGATGGCAGGAACAAGTGTTAATTCTCTTGGCACAACTCTTCTGGTGCCAAGATTTGTATCCCTAGAGTCTCCACAGTCCCAGTATAAATGCTGGGAATGCCTGGAATTATCCCCCTCTGTATCCCATGGAAAAGTTTAATATTTGGTTTCTCCTGCATCTTTCCTGCTGCCTCCTCTCCTTGCCCCTTCCCCCCCAGAACTACACCACCAATGAGAAGGCCACAGTGGACCAGCATTTCAAAGAGCTGATCCGTGACCTGGAGAGGCAGAGGGATGAAGTGAAGGCTGCACTGGACCAGAGGGAAAAGATTGCATCAGAGAATGTGAAGGAAATTGTGGATGAGCTGGAAGAAAGGGCAAAGCTTCTGCGGGAGGACAAGGAGAACAGGGAGCAGATCCACCAGATCAGTGATTCTGTGCTCTTCCTGCAGGTAACTGAGATCTCATTCTCCTTTCCTTCCTTTTTTCCCCCCATGAGAACAGGATTTGTCCCAAAGACAAATCCCACATTGATGGGGTTAATCTTCTCCAGTTCAATGCACATGTATGGCAAGAACCAACCCTGATGTTTGAAGCTGTCTCTGCCCTGGTAGGTGACCTTAGGATTTGCCAACACCCATTTTATTGGCTACAGCTCATGGGCAGAACATTTCTCTGCCCCCTCTATCTTCACTGTTCTCCACTTCACACTATTTGGAGCCTGACATGAGCCAGTTCCCTAGGATCTAGGCTCTGTCTCATGTTCCTCAGTAACCTCTCCTCCTTTCTTCCTGACAGGAGTTTGGGGCTTTGATGAGGAATTACGTGCCCCCTCCATCTCTCCCAACGTACAGTGTGCTGCTTGAAGGGGAGAGCATGAGCCCATCCATGGGACTCCTCAGAGATGACCTCCTAAACGTCTGCATGAGGCACGTGGAGAAGATCTGCAAGGCTGACCTGGGACGCAACTTCATAGAGAGGAACCACATGGAGAATGGTAGAGTATCTGGGACCTCCCCCTTCCCTCCCCTGGGCAAAGCCAGAGTCAGAGGAGATGAAGTGTGATGGTTGTGCTCTCACAGAGGAGGAAGTAAGAAAGGACCTTAGCAAAGTGGGAGAAACACCACTTGTAAGTGAAGCTCATTCTGGAATATCCTACCAGAGCTGTGTGGGGCAGCTGGGCTGCCAGGGATTCAAAGCATCTCATGTACAGAGGACCCAGGGGTCCAAAGTAGCCCAGCTTCTCTGAGTGTCTCCATGTTATGGCTTCACAGTGTTGAAGGGCAGGTTGGATGGGGCTCTGAGCAACTTGACCCACTGGGAGGTGTCCCTGCCCATCTAGGGGGCTGGATCTAGATGATCTTTGAGGTCACTTCCAACTCAAACCATTCTATGATTCTGTGAATCAGTTCAGCCACGTCCCATGTGGGACTTCAAAGCAACACTTCTCCTGGGGGTGGAGAACAGTGACCCTCCCCTCCTGCAGGAGGTCAGCTATAAATGCTGGGAATGCCTGGAATTATCCCCCTCTGTATCCCATGGAAAAGTTTAATATTTGGTTTCTCCTGCATCTTTCCTGCTGCCTCCTCTCCTTGCCCCTTCCCCCCCAGAACTACACCACCAATGAGAAGGCCACAGTGGACCAGCATTTCAAAGAGCTGATCCGTGACCTGGAGAGGCAGAGGGATGAAGTGAAGGCTGCACTGGACCAGAGGGAAAAGATTGCATCAGAGAATGTGAAGGAAATTGTGGATGAGCTGGAAGAGAGGGCAAAGCTTCTGCGGGAGGACAAGGAGAACAGGGAGCAGATCCACCAGATCAGTGATTCCGTGCTCTTCCTGCAGGTAACTGAGATCTCATTCTCCTTTCCTTCCTTTTTTCCCCCCATGAGAACAGGATTTGTCCCAAAGACAAATCCCACATTGATGGGGTTAATCTTCTCCAGTTCAATGCACATGTATGGCAAGAACCAACCCTGATGTTTGAAGCTGTCTCTGCCCTGGTAGGTGACCTTAGGATTTGCCAACACCCATTTTATTGGCTACAGCTCATGGGCAGAACATTTCTCTGCCCCCTCTATCTTCACTGTTCTCCACTTCACACTATTTGGAGCCTGACATGAGCCAGTTCCCTAGGATCTAGGCTCTGTCTCATGTTCCTCAGTAACCTCTCCTCCTTTCTTCCTGACAGGAGTTTGGGGCTTTGATGAGGAATTACGTGCCCCCTCCATCTCTCCCAACGTACAGTGTGCTGCTTGAAGGGGAGAGCATGAGCCCATCCATGGGACTCCTCAGAGATGACCTCCTAAACGTCTGCATGAGGCACGTGGAGAAGATCTGCAAGGCTGACCTGGGACGCAACTTCATAGAGAGGAACCACATGGAGAATGGTAGAGTATCTGGGACCTCCCCCTTCCCTCCCCTGGGCAAAGCCAGAGTCAGAGGAGATGAAGTGTGATGGTTGTGCTCTCACAGAGGAGGAAGTAAGAAAGGACCTTAGCAAAGTGGGAGAAACACCACTTGTAAGTGAAGCTCATTCTGGAATATCCTACCAGAGCTGTGTGGGGGCAGCTGGACTGCCAGGGATTCAAAGCATCTCATGTACAGAGGACCCAGGGGTCCAAAGTAGCCCAGCTTCTCTGAGTGTCTCCATGTTATGGCTTCACAGTGTTGAAGGGCAGGTTGGATGGGGCTCTGAGCAACTTGACCCACTGGGAGGTGTCCCTGCCCATCTAGGGGGCTGGATCTAGATGATCTTTGAGGTCCCTTCCAACTCAAACCATTCTATGATTCTGTGAATCAGTTCAGCCACGTCCCATGTGGGACGTCAAAGCAACACTTCTCCTGGGGGTGGAGAACAGTGACCCTCCCCTCCTGCAGGAGGTCAGCAGGGTCACTCTGCTTGTGCCAGGCTCCAACAAGCCTCTGCAAGCTGAGCATGGCAGTTCCTACGTGGAAGGCTGCACAGGTCTAATAAGGCAAGTCAGTGGCTCAGGAGGTAAATGAGAAGGCAGGGGCAGAAACGTGGAGGCAACCACCCTAGGATGGCAATTTTGAAATGCTGTCATCACCTGTTTGTACAGCTCAGTTAGCACACTTGTTGCTCTGCTGTGACATTCCACTTCCCAACAGCCCATTTCAGCCACTGGCTGGGACATGGAACACCCTGCAAGCACCTGTCACTGAACAGCCAGTGACACATTTGCCAAGCAAAAACATCTCCAGTTTGGAGTTCACATTAAGCTAGGACTTGAACCAGCTTAACACTCTCAGATCCTGCTTCTCTGCATGTTCCACCAGGAGGAGGTTTGTAGCCCACCTGCCCTGAGCCTGGGTGTTCAAGGGCAGTGTGAGGTCCCCCCACTTCAGGGATGTCTAAGGATGGGTGATCTTTCTTATGTGGATGGGGGGGTGATGGCCAGAGCCACAGCACTGCAAGGCAGCTTCTAAGTTTTAGAACCCACTTTCTGTGTTTTCCAATTAGTTCTGCAGAAGGGACTTGCCTTGCATCAAGCTCACACACAGGACTAGGACAGGGCAGTAGAATGGGGCTCCACAACTGAGGTTCACTTCCCACCCCTCCCACAAACTGCCTTTTTAACCCTTGGGCAAGTTACTTCATCCCATGGGATGACCTCTTGCACTAGGAATAACAGAGACTGGAATGAAACCTTATCTCACCAACCTGCTCTAAGGATATAATCTATTAATAATTGGGGAACCTCAGACACCAGCACAATCAGGGTCAAGAGCCTGGATAGGTAACGTGAGGATAAATTGCACTCTGCTGGAATAATCTCAAGTCCAGTTCAGGCAACACAAGCAGCTGAGGAGCTCTGCTGTACCTCTGGAAGATCACTGATGTTTCACTCAAATTCAGAGTACTCAATAGATATTCCTCCCATATTAATAAGTCACCTTTTTTTCCTGGGCAAGAGCCAAGCAAATCACTCCAACTTCCTCCCAGAAGAGCCAGACCCACATTATAAGTTGATATGATAAAGGAGGAGGGGGAAAAAACAGGCAAAAAAACACCCCATCAAACCCTGGTCCTTCTGAAAGTAGGATAAAAACACTTTGCATTCAAGTGACCATGACTCTGGGAGTTACTTTCCATCTGCTGAGCTGTTTGTTGGGGATTTTTCCAATCCTGAAGCAAATATGTTTGGCTTGGCCATTTGTAAAACCCAACAAGAGCATGCAAAGGTTCAGTCCTAGTAGCTCTGGATAAAGACTGATTACTTCTTGATCGCTGGATCACTTTTAATTGGGGTCCCCTCCGTGGTACTGATGCCAGAAGCCCTCCATGGTACTTGAAATCCTTGAGATTCAAGTGACAAACCATTTCTGAGCAGGGCAACAATTAACTAGTGCCAGAAACCTGGGCACTTTCAGAAACCTGACCAGGGATTTCATGGGCACAGCTTGGTGAGAGCAGCAGTGCTACCCCCTCCGTTGGGAAATGTCATTTGAGGTGAGTTGCAGAAACCTCAGTGCTCTCCGTTTTTCAAACCACAGTTACACTTGAAAGAGGACACCACTCTGCATCTAGTGACTTCAAGGAAATAACTCCACAATTACTTAATGGCTTTAATTAACTCGGACTCCCCCTGAGTCACTGCAACAGATTCATTTGCAACCAGCTTGATCTTCTAGGGTAAAAAACTTCCCAGGAAGAAATATTGTGTTAATGGAATGAAACCTGCTTAATAGCAGACTCCAAAGGGAATCCACTTTCTTTTAGTTGTCATAACAAGTACCTACTTAGTAGTGTGGCAAGGTGGCAAATAATCATAGAGCATCCAGGGAGTTTAAATAACACAGAAATAAACTGGAGGAATAACATTAAAAGTCTCTGCAGTGACTCAAGAATCAAAGAATCGCCCTTAACATTCTTGTAACCATTGCTGAGGTCACCCCTCAGTCTCCTCTTCTCCAAGCTAAAGAGACCCAGCTCCCTCAGCCTTTCCTCATCAGGGAAATGTTCCACTCCCTTCAGCATCTTTGTGGCTGTGTGCTGGACTCTCTCAAGCAGTTCCCTGTCCTCCTTGAACTGAGGGGCCCAGAACTGGACACAATATTCCAGATGGAGCCTCACCAAGGCAGAACCTCCCTTGACCCACTAACCACCCCCTTTCTAATGCACCCCAGGATGCCATTGGCCTTCTTGGCCACAAGGGCACTTTGCTGGCTCATCCTCCTGTCCACCAGGACCCCCAGGTCCCTTTCTCCTACCTTGCTCTCCAGCAGCTCAGCCCCCAACCTGCACTGGTACATGGGGTTGTTCTTCCCCAGATGCAAGACTCTGCACTTGCCCTTGTTGAATTTCATCAAGTTTCTCCCCACCCAACTCTCCAGCCTGTCCAGGTCTCTCTGAATGGCAGCACAGCCTTCTGGTGTGTCAGCCACTCCTCCCAGTTTGGTGTCACCAGCAAACTTGCTGAGGCCACATGCTGTTCCCTCATCCAGCTCATTGATGAAAATACTGAACAGCACTGGTCCCAGTACCGACCCCTTAGGGACCCCACTGGTCACAGACCTCCAACCAGATTCTGCCCCATAGACCACAACTCTCTGGCTTCTTCCTTTCAACCAGTTCATGACCCACCTCACTACCTGACCATCCAGACCACACTTCCTCAGTTTAGTTACAAGGCTGCTGTGGGAGACAGTGTCAAATCCTTTACTGAAATCCAGATAAACCACATCTACCACCCTACCATCATCTACCCACCCAGATACTTCCTCATAGAAGGCTATAAGGTCAATCAAACATGATTTCCCCTTGGTATGGGGAATGGTTCCTAGAATGGAACTATTTCAACATGGGAACCAAATTTGCAGAGAACACCAGGTTTCTAGAACACCTGAGGCTTTGAAAGAAAGGATTTGCATGAACAACTGTCTTAGCAGAGCATCATGGATCAGTGTTGGAAAACCAAAACCAGGCTGCATAGTAGCTGGCAAAAGGGCAGGTTCCATCCCATTTGCTCACAGCCTGAACCAAATGCCCTTGCCCAAGAGCTGTTGGCAGCTCAGGTTTAGCATCTTTCCATAAAAATGGACCCAACACATTGAGCCCTCCCCACATGGACTTTGTGGAGCTTTGTAAGACCTGCAGTTCAAGATCTGCTGGTTGGAAGCCAGCTCTGTGCACAAGTTAAACACACAAAAGAAGCCAAACCCAAACCACTGCTTTTGAAGTGGGATACATTTTGAGCCACACTGTAGTATTTTGGTGGGAAAATGCCTCAACCTTTGAGTCTCCCTATGGCTTTTCAGGAGATAGTGGATCTACTGAATGGCCAAATGCTTCAGCTGTGCTACATCCCCGGGGGGACCTTCTCTGTTATCCCAGACTGAACCTCTGGGCAGCTACAGCAATGTTTTACATCCCAGGCAGAGAGTGTTGTCATACCAGAGAAATGTTCAGGTTGGAAGGGACCTGAAAGATCATCTAGATCCACCCCCCTGCATGGGCAGGGACACCTCCCAGCAGCCCAGGCTGCTCCAAGCCCCATCCAACCTGCCCTTCAACACTGCCAGGGATGGGGCAGCCACAGCTTCCCTGGGCAACCTGGGCCAGGCTCTCACCACCCTCACACTCCACAATTTCCTCTTAATGTTTCATCCCCACAAAAATAGAGGAAATTGTTTTCAAAGAGCAGAACAATCTCTCCTGCAGCACTTGAGGATGAAATCCCAGTATTGTCCCCTTTTTCCTCCTCCTGTCCCCTTCAAGGCCACTAAACCACCTCCTCCATCTCACACCCTGCTCTGCTCCTCCAGGTGACCACAGGTACATGATGAACAACTACGAGTGGAACCAGCCTGACAACTTGAAGAGATTTTCCATGTTCCTGTCTCCCAAAGGT